GGGGCCCCCCCCCGGCTTATCCGCCGGCGGGCTGTCCCGAAATAGGCCCCATGAACTGGCCCGGCCCCGGCGCCGTTTGGATGAGCCCGAGGGAGCCCGGGCCGACACACGGCACGCCGCTGGTGCTTATGGTTTTTTTATAGTAATGCGCAGGAAGTTGCCAAACGTCGCACTCGCACCATCGGGGTTGGCAGAGCAAGAAAATGGAGGGACACAGCGCGTCAATGTTTGCCATGCAAGCAAAACAAGGCGGAAAGACGTGGCGTTGGGAATTCACACACAGAAAGTAGATAGCCTCGCACGTCGGGGCCTGTTTAGGGGTTTTGTCAATAGAAGCCCGGCCCTCATCACGTTACAGGCAGAAGAGACACACACACACACAGACCGAGTCCGGCAGCGCGCCTCGCAAACAAGGGCGCCGGGCTTCACGCGTACAGGCTGCCTTGGGGCTGTTCGCAGGTGAAAGCGCCTCGCTGGCTTTGCAAGCTACTCACAAGCCCCGACGGCTACCAATTGACTCGCGCTGAAAACAGGCCACACAAGAAATCACCACTCAGCCCGCAGCCCCATGCAGGCCCCCGGAGCTGCTGCCCCGGCGCCCTGGCGCCATGCGTGCCGCGTGGCGAGGCGGCCGGGGTGCCGCGAGTGAGCCAGCACGGGGGTGGTAGCTCGCTGGTAGCGGGCTGCGGCTTGCCCAGGGCCACAACCCGCCGCACTGGGCCCCGGGGCCTGTGCGGCGGGAAAACCCCACCGGGGCCCGAGGTGGGAAGCGGGAAAACGTGCAATGGGAACCGAGAAAACCTCACTGTGTGTGATGGAACCGGATGATGCTCAGAATGTCTGTGTGTAAGGAACCGGATGAGCTGCTGGGGGTTACCGGAACGGTTTCAGGTATGTACAACTTAGGTACTAGTTCATAGTTGGTCTTAATTGCAGCTGCACAAGTGCAAAAATTGACGCTTGTCATGCTCAAAGCACAAGTGCAAAAATTGAGATTTCTTCAAAAACTCCCCGCAGCCTCCCCAACCGGCGCTACCACGGACCGCGGCACCTCGCCGATTAAATCGATGCGAAGCCGGGCGCAGTCCGCGGGCCGGGGAAAGGAAAAATCTTCGCAGGAGCGTGGTTATCAACTGCAAATATGTCTGGGTCTGGGAGGTTGTAATTTGTGACGCTGCCTGTGGATTCTACAAAAATCTGTATTGCATGAGCGGCAACAGGAGTCCAGTTTTTGCTACGCGGACGGGGAATTTCTCATGCGGTATAGGCACTAGGAAGCCCTCGCAA